TTCCAGCCCAAACCATTGTATGATTGAAGGCAGTGAGATTTTTCTTTTGGAGGAGATTTAGCTGTATGTTTGGGTTTGTTTCTTTTTTCCAATACTGTAGCTTTTATAGACTTATAGTGCGAAAGTCAATAGTGGCCAAATCTAAGTTAATGTGTTAAAGAAATACCATTCAGCATATCCTTGATAGCTCATTAGGCTTTGTATAGCTTGTTACGTTCTAAGTAATGGTCGTTAATGGCCTCAGTGAGGAAAGCAGTGCAAAAGTTGCTCTGTCACATCCTGTATTGGCTCAGGTTGTAAGGAAAGGGTGAAATTTAAAAAGTCAAGTCAAGCTCTAAAAGACAGATGTCCATACCAGTAATAAAGATGCAGACTGACCAGGGTGTGGCTTACAGTTACAGGAGTACGTTGGCCAAAATTTGGTCTGCAGCTGGATTATAGGCCCTGCTTTTCCAAAAATACAGTATGGCTTTGGTTTGTGTTTGTGGGTAATGATATGCAGTCAGAAACATGTGGCTCAGACTGAATATTTCCAGTATTTACTCAAAAGACTAAATATGACCATATGTAGAAGTTTGTTGGCAACTGCAGACTTAGTTAAGAGTTACTGATGTGAGAATGGACTGTGGTGCAGGCTATTCTTCTGTAATTCATTCGGCTTTAATTCATATTTGACAGCATCTGAGGGAAACAGTTTCCTTTTTTCAGTCACATATGAGTGAATGTTTGAGACCTGCTAAATGAAATCTTACCTCCATTTTTGTTTACATCGCTATTTTTCTCATCATAACAGTAATTATGATGTTATTCCAAGTCAAAACATCGATTTTTTAAAAAAAAAAAGTATGCCTAGCAGCTATAACAGAAGTGAGGAAATTTTCTAGGCTAATTGTATCCTTATTGTGTTTCAGAAGCATCAACAAAGAAGGCCTTGGGATACGTTTTCAGTGACCTTGCAAACAAACTGTCCTCAGATGTCCTTGTGTTAAGGATTCGGCACAGTTCAGTCTACGTGTGGCCTAACAGTGGTACGAACACTGTTCCAGAGCTGACTGATGATTCGGCTTGTAAGGAGATAAGACGATTCATACAGTGAGTATGTTTTAAAAGACACACTTTTTTTAAACAGATTCATATTACAGAAAATTCTCTTTCTGTTGATACTTCAGATTTGATCAAGATGATGAGACCAAACGAAAGCTTGGCAAAAAGAAGGATAAGAAGCTGCAAGATACGGTATGTGTCTCACCATGCTAATGATATCGGACAGCCTGTCATTTAAACATTTTTAAACCTGCCCTCCATAGGCTTTTGTCTACACAAATAGACACTGACTGTCATAAAAGAATCCCTTTAAAGTCTTTGAGACTCAGCATGAGAGTGGAGATCCCTCTACAGTAGGTCAGCACTTAGAAGTTTGTCTTTAACATTCCTGGCTGTTTTTAAACCTGATTATTTCATTACTGAGTTTGATAGCAAGTATCTACAATCTTACCGTTGCCGCCTTGGTGCCTGTGTTGCTGGAGATGTCCTACTGGTGTCTGTATTCTCTGCAGCAGGAGATAGTCAATGTAGACCTCATGTTGGAAATGACGTCTTCGTTAGCTGCTTTGGCCCCAGTCGTTGAAAGGGAAAATAAGGAACACCACTACGTTAATATGACGTTACCGGTCGATGTTGTTGTGTCTGTTTCTCCGGAAGAAGCATGGGGAAAGTAAGTGTTATCCTGAACTTGGAATTTTTCAGCTTCATTTCTGATTTTTCTTGAAATAATGAAGTAAAGCTATCATATCATTATTTAGTTCCATGAGGTAGCATATAGTATTTTTGTAGTAGAATTTAATTGTGTAAATAATAAAAGCTGCTGTAGACTCCTGTTAACAGTCTTGAGAAGCCATGCCCTTGCTGTCTCAAAAAAAATCCAGTTTATCAGTGTCTGATAGATTTGATAACTTGTAACTGTTGCTTAGCAAGGAATTGAGAAACTCGGGAAAATGTTCTGAAAATTCTTGTAAGGCCGTGAGTGTGTATAAAAGTGAGCGTTGGCATGTATTTGATGCCTCTCTCTAATCACAGTACTGCCTCGGGGGCTGCAGCCGGGTAGGTGAAGGCAGAAAATGTTAGTCATCTTCTGCATTTTTATCTTGCACTGTTTTCCATAGGATTTGACTCTGAAGGATGCTAAGTGGGATGGATAAAATGCAAAAATCCACCCCATATAGTCCTAAGTGTAACTTTTATTTTGGCAGATGTTGATAACCACAGAATCACAGGATGGTTAGGGTTGGAAGGGACCTTAAAGATCATCCAGTTCCAACCCCCCTGCCATGGGCAGGGACACCTTCCACTAGACCAGGTTGCTCCAAGCCTCATCCAGCCTGGCCTTGAACACTTCCAGGGATGGGGCATCCACAGCTTCTCTGGGCAACCTGTCCCAGTGCCTCCCCACCCTCTCTGGGAAGAACTTCTTCCTGATATCCAATCTGAACCTCCCCACTTTCAATTTAAACCCGTTACCCCTTGTCCTGTCACTACAGGCCCTTGTAAAAAGTCCCCCCCAGCTTCCTTGTAGCCCCTTCAGGCACTGGAAGGGGCTATAAGGTCTCCCCAGAGCCTTCTCTTCTCCAGGCTGAACAAGCCCAACTCTCCCAGCCTGTCCCCATAGCAGAGGGGCTCCAGCCCTCGGAGCATCTTTGTGGCCTCTGCTGGACTCGCTCCAAGTGGTCAATATCCTTCTGATGTTGGGGGCCCCAGAGCTGGATGCAGCACTCCAGGTGGGGTCTCACCAGAGCAGAGTAGAGGGGGAGAATCCCCTCACTCGCCCTGCTGGCCGTTCCTGATGTAAGACTCGAATACCTGCACTCCAGAGGGTTGAATCCCTGGGGAGTAGTTCCTGTGTGCAGACACAGCTTTGAGTAAAGCAGGGTGGGGGTCTGTCTTTCTCGGTGGGAATGGTAGCACGGAATTAATAGGTTCATCAGAGCATGTGCAAATTTGCATGTAAGTATTGTGAGAGAAAACAATCCACTGTCACTGTTACTCCTTAGTTGTTCTCCCTTATACTTCACAGGGTACAGAATCTCCTGGTGACAGCAATTCACAGGCAGTTAACTGACATGGAAAAATGTATCATGAAATACATGAAGGGAACATCAATTGTCGTACCAGAACAATTTCATTTCATGTTACCAGGGAAAAATCATCTCGTAACGATCTCGTATCCTACGGGTATTCCAGATGATCAACTGGAAAGTTACAGAAAGGTAAAGCCGTGGGATAATAACCTGAGTTTAAAATTTTTTTAAATTATTCTTCTTGTAACTGAAGCCGTGGTAAAGTTTTTCGTTTAGCCAACATAGAATAAACACTAACAGATACTGCTGCTTTTAAAATTTATTGTAACTGAAGCAGTATACTGAATGGGGAAGCTTGAAAGGGTTAGGGCTGGGGTTTTTTTTGGCCGTTTTGCTTTCTTTCTTGGGGTGTTGCGTGTTGGTGGTTTTCTGTGTGCCGGGACGGAGGGCTGCTTTGGGTGGCTCGCAGCTGACCAGCCTTGGTTAGCTCTTGTTTGTTTATTTCTTGCCTTCTGGGTTGGCACAACTAGAAAAAGGAACATGGATGAGGTGGAAAAACATCCTGATGTGGCAGTCCTTTCAGGGTGAGGCACGTGCCTGGCAGGTGCCAGTCCTGGTCACGCCGTTACACACGCTGAGAGCGGGGAGAGAATCTTCTGCTGCCTGAGAGGTGTAGAAGCCGTGGGGATTTTTCATTTTCTTCCGAGGGAAGCGTTGCTGGGTGTATCTAGTCCCTGCACTGGCAGAGGCCTCGGGCACCGGTGGCACGTTCAGTCTCCCCCGCTGCCCGCCTTCTGTTGGCTCTCACCCACCGGCTGCTGAGCGTTGTTGGCTTCGTCGCGTAAAATGCGTTTCCTGCATTACACACCTTATCCTAGAGGATCTCGTCATTCCTTTCACTCTTAAGCTTTGTGAAACACAACAATATATCTCTTTAAATGTGGCTGCTTGGTTGTAAACAGTGCTTAAGGGATTTAAAACCAGACTGAATCTGCTTAAACCATAAGCCCAGTATCTTGGCTCTGTCTCAGTACGTGCTATTTGCACGTCTTCAATTTTAGGTAAGATTTTAACTCGGGGGGTGTGTGTCTATACTGCTGCATAGATAAAACTGTAATCCTTTTCTGTTCTGGTGTATCTTTACTTTCGTAAGACACTTGTCACTCCTGATACTGTCAGTGGGGCTCCAGCAGCAGGCGTTGTGCAGCGGGGCTGCAGATGATGGTGAGCCCCGTCGATGGGGTAAGGCTGCGTGCGCTGCCTTGGGAGGTGAGGTCTGGTAGTAAACGTACGTGCCACGTGTTCAATTAAGCAGATTTTAGTATAATGATTTGCTAAACTATGCTGTTTGTCTCGATCACTACTTACGACGTGCTGTTTCTTCTAATCCAAAATTTGAATTGTGCTCTTTATTTTTCTCCTAACTTGCATGTAGGAATTGCATGGGTTATTTCATCTGCCTTGTGACAGACCGTATTTCAAGAGAGCAAATGCTTACCATTTTCCAGATGAACCATATAAAGATGGATGTCTTAGAAATCCACATTTACATCTTAATCCACCTGGTGCAGAGTCTGGTGTGGTAAGTTTCAATTGAAACATTTCTAAGAAAGTACTTTCTGTTTTCCTTCAGATTGATTATTAAAAGAAGTGATTTAGGTAGTCAGTATTATGTAGATGAGAAAGAGGAGTAACTGATTCAGCCTTTTGAGCAAAAGGGCTTCTCTGTGGCATAGCTTTAGCTCTGTTTGTCCCAGAGAAATCACATTTTCTTGGAAAAGGGCGTACACCTTTAGCATGCATTTTAAAGGCTTCTCAGAACCAGGACAAGAAGCTAAAACTATGAACGGAAACGTTTAGGAGACAAAACCAGGAAGAGTAGTGTGTAAGTAACAACCCTTCAGTTCTCCCAAAGACCTGCAGTCCCCAGCTGAAAGCTTTCACAGTGCAAAGTGACAAGTCCTGTGGCACTTCTGAAAATCGATGCCAGTGTGATCAGATGCTTATGTCTTCTCTCTCTGCCTGCAGGTTTGTCTGGTACATGGTGTGTATGGTTACCACCACTACATGCAGGATCGGATCGATGACAGTGGCTGGGGCTGTGCCTATCGGTCTCTGCAGACAATCTGCTCATGGTTCAAGCACCAGGGTTACGTGGATGCGCCCATACCAACACACAGGGAAATTCAGCAGGTACAGCTCGTCTCGGCAGCTGATGAATTTTATGCCTATTTTTCTAGGAAAGTATGTACGGGTTATTTTTTAAATATCAAATTCATATATTTTAGGCTTCAGATTTGTGTGATGTTTTTAATTTATCTCTTAAGTTGGACTATAGTGGTTCTTGAGGGCTGGAGCACCTCTCCTGTGATGAAAGCCTGGGAGAGTTGGGCTTGTTCAGCCTGGAGAAGAGAAGGCGCCGGGGAGCACCTTCCAGTACCTGAAGGGGCTACAAGGAAGCTGGGGGGGACTTTTTACAAGGGTCTGTAGTGACAGGACAAGGGGTAACGGGTTTAAATTGAAAGTGGGGAGGTTTAGATTGGATATTAGGAAGAAATTCTTCCTGGAGAGAGTGGGGAGCACTGGGACAGGTTGCCCAGAGAAGCTGTGGATGCCCCATCCCTGGCAGTGTTCAAGGCCAGGCTGGATGAGGCTGTGAGCAACCTGGTCTAGTGGAAGGTGTCCCTGCCCATGGCAGGGGGGTTGGAACTGGATGGTCTTTAAGGTCCCTTCCAGCCCAAACCATCCTGTGATTCTATGAATTACTATTTTAAACAAGTCTTACTACAGGAGGACTGTCTACAGATGTTTATCAATGTCGGATGACATTATCTGTACAAATAAGACTCATTAAAATCGTCCTTTCAATATTTCCTTGGTTTAATGTTCTATTAGAAGCTCAGATTATGACTTTTTCACTGTTGTTGCCAAATGAAAGAAAAGAACCCAATGTGTCATACTAAAATCTGTTTTAAAACTGACTTTTGTATCCAGTGACACTTCCAGAAGAGAACAGAAAGGGTTGAATTCGACATCCGTTTGTCTTCTGAGGCCTGCTAGGTTCAAAACAAGTTCCCATATACATAAACCAACCTTGTTCACAAAAAGTGGTGGAATTGCCTACTGTGCGCTGTTGTGATGTTTCTTTTTCTTCTTTGTGACGTGGCAAAGGCGCTGGTTGATGCTGGAGACAAGCCCGCAGCATTTGTTGGGTCACGGCAGTGGATCGGTTCCATTGAGGTACAGCTTGTTTTGAATCAGCTTTTTGGGATAACATCAAAAATATTATTTGTCAGGTAAGAATCAGTATCTGTTCAGTAGCTCAGTAATTGTTAAAAAGACTGTGTGCCTTAAAATGGGAATGGCCATTACAGTACACAGGACAGTAAGTGGGATGATAAACCTTTTAGGGGTTCCTTGTTGACAAACCCTGTACTGCTGCCTTTGGTTGTGCGAAGTGCTTGCAGATGAAGGTGTTGCTAAATTTCCTGCGGGCTTGGGGTTCCAGTTTCCACTCCAGTTTGCAGTTGCTATAAATTGGTTAACAGAATTCAGCCTATTCCTTTGCACCACCACCGTAACTTCTGAAGCAGGCGCACAGTCTGGTGGTCACCATGAACTGAATTATCACTTTGTCCACGGAGTTAGCCCGTCGGTTCAGGGTTGAGGCAAATTGCAGAGCAGCCTGGAAATAGTGTTATCTTTTCTGGGTTTGCGTGACACGTAATACAAGGGATTTGTTTCCCTTCTGACAGTTTGACGCTCTCATACACAACAAAAACCCCTACAAATATACTTGGGAGAAAAAGAATAATGTTTGACATTTATCAGAATTAAAATTACTGGATGTTTATCGTTTAGGCAGCACTAAGCAGGCTAACAAATCCCTGAAGGTTTTGTGATGAAATGATGAAATAAAGAACACCTCTTTATTCTCATCAAACGGAATACTGCTCGTGGGTGATATTTATTTGGAGTAAATTCTCCTGTAGGTGTGTTAAAAGAACGTGTGACCGTCTTGATGGCGATTCTTATCGGCAGGAAAGATAAGAATCTTTATAGTCTGTAAAGCTTTATACAGCCAATTTTAATCTTTTTTGTTCCAGCGCTTATGTTTGCAGATGATCCCTCTGTTATTAACAGCAGCTGGGACAGGCCCTGCCGGTAGGAAGGTTTTATTCCCTCACGTGAGGGTACGGAATAGGCTCCTTCGTGAGCTGGGCAGAGCTGCTCACAGTGCGGCTGCAGGGGAGCGCCGGTGTTTCTCAGGGTTATGAAAAGCCAGCATCACCACCACGCTGAGAAGGAGAAATGTTACGGATCTTCTTCAGCTGGTTACTGGCAGTGGGTAGCACTTTGGTCTTGAGCTTACCTCCAGCTAGCACCTCGGACTCGGCGGCCGTGAGACTTCACCGCTGCCCCAGCAGCACTAGCGCTGCATCTGTTACTGTGAAGGCACCGTTCCCTGGAGTTCCGGTTTTGTAGTCTGTCTGCGTTTAATCCGTCTCTGCAGGAACTCGAGAAGCAGGCAGGCAGGCTGGCTTTCTTTGGGTTTCCAAAAGGTTAACCGCTGTATGAAGAAATACAAAGACAAGATACTAAAAATACCTGTATTGGTTTCACTGCCATTCTGAACACCTTTATCGACACCCTGTTTTTGTTGTTTCTGATGAATTCCTGGCACTCCGGGCTTCCCCTTGCTTAGAGAGATGTGGCCAGTCTGGTTTCAGCCACTTGGAGGGCCCCGTTGGGGTTTTCCATCTGTCCCCGCTGTGGGAGACGAGCCTCCAGGCGCTCCAGTGGCAGCTAGGCTCACCGCAGCTCAGAGGCCCAACCGGAATCAGAGAGTTGCGTTAAAAACCTTCGTTCAGATTGTCCTGGGATGTTCACACAGGAAAGCTCTGAGCCACTTCCTAATCAATTACCTACGCCGCTAATGAGTGTAATGGATAATTAGAGAATTAAGCCTGGTGAGGATGACAACTCTGTTACTGTTTTTTTTTTTTACCCAGCCAGGGTTCTCAACTAGCGTTGCAGGGAAGAGAGCTTGCCAATCATTTCAAGACTGAAGGGACACCCGTTATGATTGGTAAGTGCTGGAGTACTGAAGAATGCCCCTGAAAGGGCCTGGCCTCCCCCTCCTGGTGCTGAACTTCATCTCAGTTAGAACTTGCGCAGGTTACTGTAATCAGAACTCCAGGAGAATTATGAATGACCCTTTTCCCAGGGGAGCCCAGGCAAACGAGAGAGTTTAACCTGGCTGGTGCCTTTTCACTGGGTATTTCTCCCAAGCTCAGTGTTCAGCCTGGTAACAGGAGTCACTCTCAGCAGTGCTGTCCAGAACTGCTGGTAAGGCAGAACTGGAGGGCTGACCGCTCCCTCGAGGGGCAGGTCATGCGGTCCCCCAGAGCTTCCCATATTTACCTGGCTCTGAAGAGAAAAGGGTCTATCTAGGTTCTTTTACGGCCAGTTTTAATGATGTGTAGAGTCAGTAGCTTAAGAAATGCCATTCGTGGGAACGCGGTAACTGAACTGGTTTCCAACACAGCTGTCGTTTAGAGGGTGAAGAATACTGAAGCTATCATTTTCAGCTTCAGTAAAATCTTAATTTTAGCCATTTTTGCAGTCTGTGTTTGGTAGTCTGTCCAGATAGCGTTACTCTCTCAAATGAGAGGTGACAAGTCCACATTTTGGTATGGACAAATATTTGTGACCTTTCAGCAGCCTTTTTGTCTGAACCTCAAGAATTTAGAGTCCTGGATTGAAAAATCATTTGGCCTTACCCTTTGGTAACTTACCCTTCCTGGGAACGCTCTTTTGTGGATCGGTTTGTTATTGGGGGGAGGGGGCAGAGTTTTCCAGACTCCTTTTCTGAAGCTAGGTTTCGTTAAAGTGGGCAAAGCAGAGGTTTGAAGTATTCGTGACTTCATCTGGTGGAAATGGTCAGGATTTAAGCCGCCTCGCTGACGTGGAACAGGTTTGGCAAGTAAATTCCCTAGTTGTAGTAAAGATACGATGTTTCCTAGTGTGAAGAATCTGACGAAGGACGGCTCCAGAACCATTCTGAGAATGGGAAATGTGGATGTACTTTTATTTCAGGCTGGTGCACGCAGCCAGTGTCAGGGAAACAGGTTGGGCAGTTTGTGTTCCTCCTGTTCTAGGTGGCGGCGTCTTGGCTCACACGATACTGGGAGTGGCCTGGAATGAGATTACGGGGCACATAAAATACTTGATTCTCGACCCGCATTACACTGGGGGAGAAGATCTGCACGTGATTTTGGAAAAGGTGAGGCTTGATGCACACAGGTACATATGTGTGTGCAGATATTCTGGTGTTAAACGGATAACGTACCATCGGTTCTACAGCTTCTCCGTTCCGCCTGCTGATCCCAGTTAACCTGCGCGTATGCTGCTGTTAGTTCTGGCAGCTTGGTGTCTCTGAAGAAGAGGGATTGGGTCAGCAACTTTGGGTCAGCAACTGCACAAAGTTGTTACAGCACAAAGAAATGGTCTTTACTTTCTCTGAATGAAACCATCCCCCCTTTAACCCTACCGTGCATACAATAAATGTGTTCCCAGTTCCGAATGGAGCAGAAAAATCTGCCTGTAAAATGCTGTTACTGGAGCAGAGAAGGTAAAAATAAATAAATGGCTATTTAAAATCCAGCACTAGGCATTCTCAAATCAGGCCTTGAACTCACGCTTAAAGGGCAGGTACTGAGCTGGTTTGAAAATCTGGGAAAACACTGAATAGCTAAAGGTTATGTAATGTCGTTTCCCTATTTAAAGCTGCTAAAGGGGATGGCACAGCGCATTCCAAACGGGGAAACAGAAACCTTAGCTGCAAAAGTGGCGGAATCGTCCTATCAGTGTGGAGTCATCACCCTGCTTTCCATTCTTCGTGTGAAGTTGCAATAGCAACTTGTATTTTATGTCTCTGACACCCTTGGGCTGGGCCCAGCTGGAGGAGCTGTCACAGAACCATTTTGCTAGCCCCAGGGTGACCCAAGCTTGGAATAGAGGCAACTACTAGAGAGCAACTTCCAAAAGAACCGTTAGAATCGAAGGCTGTTATGGTTGAGGAATGGCCCAGGAGGAGAAAATGCACGCAGAACTCCCTTTCTCATCCGAAGTGGCAGGGGAAGGAACTGAGGGCGACTAGGTGTGTAGCTCTTTTCTTCACAAATACCTCCTGTAATTATGTGGTACTCTGCAAGCTTTGTTAGGCTGTTTTTCTGCTAAATCACGATCAGCAGCAGGACTTTCGGTGACTGAAAGCTCTGTTTGGTCTTGAGGTATTAGCTGTAAGACAAGAAGGCAAGGATTCCTCAGGGCAGGAGAAACAGGAACAGAGAGTGGTAGTTCCAGAGTAATACTAGTCTCTGGGGCAGTGGGAGGGGTGGGGGGAGATGCTACATTTGGGGATCTGAGCTGGGGAGAGAGACCCTGTAAAGGGCGTTCCGTTGGGGTGTTTCCAGGCTCTAGGGAACTTCCTGAAAGTTGTGTGTCACTGCATTCTCTAGATAGCTGAAAAGAATTCCTGTGTCAGAGTAAAACCAGTGAAATCACATAGATCCAATAGTGGCAGGTGGGAAAAACAGAGTCTGTAGTAGATTTAAACGCTGTCTTGCTTTTCCTTGGGCAGGGCTGGTGTGGATGGAAGGGCCCGGAGTTTTGGAGCCAGGACGCCTATTACAATCTCTGCCTACCTCAGCGACCCAAAACCATCTGAATTCCACGCACTAAGCCGGACCACCAGCTGATGGGGATATTGATGCCCTGTTAGTCATCGGAATAATGCTTTAAGTCCGTCACAACCCAGCTGAAATAAAACTGTTGCTTGAGTAATTTACATTAAGAATCATTTTAAATTAAACTTGTAAATATAGGAGTTACCTGCTGTGAGCTGTACTTCCTACAAATACACTCCCTGAGTAAGTAGTACTCCTTGCCTTTGGCTAGGACAACTTTGTGTTCATATACGCTATTTTATTATGCTGAGATTTTCACAGATTTAATGCCCAATCCTTTCACCTTATGGAATCTTTTTCTTGCCACAAAGGTGAACTGTGTCATCTTTGCCAGGTGTGTTGTGCGGGATGAATCTGTTCAAAGGCATCGTTTGCTGCTGGGACTGTTGATAACAGCATTTTGGAAGAGGAGTGGGAGAAAAATGGCTGTACGTACTGAATTTTATGAACTTTGTTCTCATATTTACAAAAAAAAAAAGACTTGTTATATGCTCATTTATCTATAGCTGTAGGAATGCAACTATTCTAGGAAAGAAAAGTCTTCTGTAAGAAGCAAAAATAAACAAGCTTTCCTCCTTCTCGGAAGGAGACCGTGTCCCAGCATACATCTGGCTGTTCAGTTGTCAAAAGACATTCCAAACCCCCAGCTTTTGCTGTTGTGTGAAGTGGGGTTTCTCTGAGACAGGCCTAAAAACACAGTTTATGTATAGCAGTCATTGGAAGGAAGGGGAGTAGGATGAAGCTATCCTGTTCTCTGACACACAGAGTGTTACTCTCTGTACCAGGTAGTTGTGAGTTGAGGGAGAGGTGAATACAGCTAGGACACTCTACTCAGTACCTGCTGTTAGAGGCTTGGTGTACTCATCCCAGCAGAGCAGAAATCCTGTCTCGCGCAACACTCGTGGGTTCACCTTCGCCTTCTAAAGACTCCTCTGCATCCAGAGCAGCGTGGCCAGCAGGTCGAGGGAGGGGATTCTCCCCCTCTACTCTGCTCTCCTGAGACCCCACCTGGAGCGCTGCGTCCAGCTCTGGGCCCCCAACAGAAGGCCATGGACCGGGTGGGAGGAGGCCATGAAGATGCTCCGAGGGCTGGAGCCCCTCTGCCATGGGGACAGGCTGGGAGAGTTGGGCTTGTTCAGCCTGGAGAAGAGGCAAAACTTGGGTACTTGCTGTTTCAAATTTGCTCCCATCTGCAGTTGCCAAAGTGGGAAAAAAGCTTCCCTGCTACAAGCAGCTGAGTGAGCTGGAGGCCGAGCAAAGGCATCTGCAGGCGCGTTTGCCCCAGTTCCTGCGTCAGGCTGGTTGCTGAAACTACCCGCCTAAAGAGCCCAACGAAAGTGCAGTGTTACGATGGCGATGTACCGTACAGGCCACGGTCACAAACCAGCTTTCTACCACAGACCTGACCGCTGGAAAGCAGGAGCAGAGGAAGTTACCATCCCAAAACAAACGGCTGGGAATCTTGTTTGATCACAGCGGCAGTGACATTTCAAGGCGAAACCTGCCTTCCCCCCCGCAGAGCGTCAGTACCGGGTGTCCGTTGCTGGGGAAGGCAGGGATGGAGGAGCCAAGCACTCGGGAAAACCACATCACGGATGACTCTGACTTATCAAAAACTGCTGTGTGACTTCATTTGGCAAGGACACAGTCTCTGCTGGGATCCTTCCCGTGCTATAAAATCCGATTTGGCAGAGCCTGCAGTTACCGCTGACTGTAGTTAATAGGTAAAGGCCTTGAAGAGAAGCAAAGAGCATCGTCACCCAGCGCCCACGGTACGCAGTTCTGTTTCCGGGTGCCTAGATGCCTCTTAAGGAAGTTACACCGAATCGCTACCATCATTTAAAAAAAAAAAAAGGAAATGGAAAGTCATGTGTTTAAAAATAATATTCATAGTTTTGGTAAGCAGAGCTGAGGGAAAAGAAGCGTAAACTGCGTTCCTTCAGGCTACACGTGGTGCTGAAATAAGTGCACAAGCATTATGCCAACCTCCTCCTGCCTCTCCCCTGGGAAAACAAACATCACTTTTTTCAGAAGTGCAGTATGAAGATACCCAGCATCATCTTTAAAGGTGCAGAAACGTGGGTAAGTGGGCAGTGCATCAGGTCAGCAAAACTCTTGGAGTAAGAGGCAGAAGCAAATAAACCCCTACGCTTCTCCCTCGGCATTGTTGGGGGTGAAATGCCCCGGCACACACGCCAGCGGCCCACGGGCGTTCACGCAGCTGCAGACCCTTCGGAAAACACACATACCCAGCCGTAGTAGCTTAAGAGTAAAGAGCCTTCACTCTGCCTTTTAAACCACAGAATTCATTGGTGCTTCAAAAAAAAGGTTATTTTCCGGTCGGCTTCTTGGGCTGTGACATCTTCACACAGTGAATCCGGATGAGTTTTAGGAGTTTTGTGGTGCTTTAAGTCAGTTGGGACCTTTGGGAAACATCATGAGGAGCCCGCAGGTTTAACCACCCAGATCTGCAGGCATCGCTCTTTTTTCGACTTTGGCCTCTGTCCCTGTTGCTATAGAAACAGATGGTGCTGCCAAAAATAGAAGGATGATAATCATGTGGGAAGAAAAAAAAAACCCACCAGGAAGCTGGGAATGCAGCTAAAGGTTTTGGTATTACATCCCTTCTTGTGAGAGAGACAGCCAGAAGCGATCAACAAAACAATGCCTTACATCTCAGGATAAATCGGCTGCAAACAGCATTTCCCCTCAATTATCCTAAGTTTTGGAGTACCTATATGAGGAAAACAAATTACACTACAACAAGCAGTTGCTGATCACTGGAAGCAGTCCCGCTTGCTGGATGGAAGTTCCGTAGCCTGGTGCCTTTTTCCCCGAACCGCAGTAAGCGCTTCCAACAGGGCCTGCCACGGATGCTCAAACCGCATCCCACCCTATCCCACCGCGTCTTTCCATGCTGTGTGGCACCGGCCAACAGCCAGACATGGTGTTCCCGCAGTGCCCTGGCCGCCATGGCACTGTTCCATCTGTTGTTCGTACACTATGCCCTGTGTTTTCAGGTACGTGGCACCGGTCCCTGACCCAAGGCACAGCTTTCCATCTTTGTTCCCTCCCTGCCCACCAGTTTTGATGAAAGAAACCGGTTACCTGTGAGATGTCTGTCCCTGCCCACTTGGGCTAAAATTGGGCACCCATGTGTTGGAACACAAATGCTCAGGGAATGGTGCAAGGCCAACGGGCAGGGGAACTTAAACCTCAGTTTCTTGTGAAAATTAGAGTAACTTGGTTTGAGAAGACGGAAAAGAATGAAGTGCAAGTAGTAATTTGTGTACTTGTCGAACGTGACGTGCATGGACCCTGTACTGTTGGTGGTGCTGCTGGTGGCAGGCTGTGAATCAGTGTCAGGGTTTGCAGCAGGAGCAGAACTCACTCAGGTTGCTGCTTTCTGGGCCCTTCTTCACGTTTTCGTTGATGAATTGCCTGATTTTGCCACGATCAAGACATGGAGCAGGCGGCCTGTCCGTTTCTTGAGCTGGCTTGGATGTCCATGTTACATACGGCTGTTCATCCCTACATTTATTCTTTGAGCAGGTTTGAATTTCCACACTTCTGGACATATGTCTGTATTGCCTAAAAATGCATGTTCTCGGAACAGGTTGCCCAGAGAAGCTGTGGATGCCCCATCCCTGGAAGTGTTCAAGGCCAGGCTGGATGAGGCTTTGAGCAACCTGGTCTGGTAGAGGGTGTCCCTGCCCATGGCAGGGGAGTTGGAACAGAGCCTACACAGTCTCAGTGGCTAAGCTCCTGAGACAGTTAGCAGTTCAGGCACTTAGTGGTTTGGAGGGTGTTAACAAGGGGCGCTTTGTCATTGTGAGGAGGTTTGACTATCAAACTCTCGCTCAGCAATACGCGTTTGCAGCCTGGTGTTGCTTTGTCAAAACCTACAGAAAGACCTGAAGGACAAGTGCAGAGAAGAACATTTTAATTCCAATATTGTTTTTACTTAGAATGCTGATACACATGCATGAAAATACATGAGTAAGGACACCAGGCTCAGTTTACTGTTACACCTACCGTGTATTTTTAAATATGGTTTCTTCTTTAACTTAATGCAGATGGAAGTGCTAATATTCTGTCACAGAAGTGAAAGTATCTGCATCCGCAGGTGATGCCTTCATAAGAAATGCGGGTCTATAAAGTCTCCAGACATCCGAGTTCAGTCCTTGTGACACCAACCCTTAGCTGCGATATAAAAGCAGGTACTTAAACCCCCAAGGTGAAAGAACAGCTCACCTGAGACTCTTACCCCTTAAATTACAAAGGTGGCATTTGGGGGAGAGGGAGAACGGCTGTCAGAACGCCTGTTGGTTTCGGAGATGATGTTTGTATGTCACTACTTTTACTGAGGTTGGGGTTGTTTTAAATTTTATA